CGTGTGTGTGTGTGTGCGTGCGTGCGTGCGTGCGTGTGTGTGTGTTTGATGTATGTACGTGTTCACACGGGCACAAGTGGTCTGCGCCCAAGGGGCGTTTGGTAAACCCCTCACGGGTGCGTTCGTATTCGTAGGCGGCCACGGCCGATACAGATCGAGCCCACGCAAGTAGGGCCCTAGTTTTCGAATCTACGCGCGTAGTTTGTGAGCTCGCTATACTGCGTCTATACAGGGTCTCGGACCGGTGCCGAGTGGAGTACGTGCGCGTCTAGCAATCGCGTGTGTAGCAGCCCCTCGCAGGGAACCGGTTGTTTTCGTAGCCGATCACCGCAAAGAGTGGTGCTGATATCTTTCGAAGCAATCCTTTTCGGTGCGCTCAATATGTCCGCTCGAGTATGTTGTGTAGTGGACTTTACAGAGTCGAGATAATAGAAGAGATGTTTTGTAGTAGTCGTCGTTGTGCCCGGTAAAGCCAGTGCGTATTTTCATTATAGTATGTGTGTTTTCTTCAACTGAACCCCCACCCCAGCGCAACCCCCCTCACGTGTCGTGAATCTAACTTAAATTGTTGCCTTTCGACAATGCGATTGCAACTAATTTTACCTCCTGGAATAACGCTAAGTTACTTCTCGGTTCTAGCTATCTGTCACAGCAATCACATCGCGTGAAATTCTAAGGCGGGTGTATAAATCCAGGCTCTCAGAGAGGTTCGGCTGCATTTTTACAGGCCCCCCTAAGCCACGGTTCGACAGCTGGCCGTGTTCACAAACAAAACGGAGAAGTTTGTTTGCTCAGGGGTTGTTGCCGGCCAGCGATACTGTTGGGGAGCGGTCAGATGGCAGCGTGAGCCCCCGGGGGTCGCTCTGCCGCGTCTCAGCAGTTAAGCGCCTGCTCCACCTTCCGCGTCTGTGGTGTTAACACTTGCAGCAGTTCACCCCCGCATCACCTTTCCTCACCCCACCTGCTTCAGGTCTGTGATTCAGATTCCGCCGTCCTAGTGATCAATTCCCCACCAAAGCGATTATTCCCTTTCCCGGTGACCAACCCCCATTCCTGCTGATCTGTCTGAGACTGTCTCCCTCCCTGGCGATCAGTTGCTCTTCCCTGGCGACCAGTTGCTTTTCTCTAGCGACCAGTTCCCCTTCCTAGTAATCATTCCCTCTGTGGTGATCAGTTCACCTCCTTAAAGATAGTCCCCTCCCTGGAGATCAGTTCCTCTTCCCCATGGTTTAGTCCTCCCCCGTGGCTCAGCCATTCCAACATTCGGTGTGCATATTTTGCTGTTCGTTAGAAAACAAGGAAAGCTTTCGCACAGCAGTTGTGCAAATACTGTTGCCATGTTGTTATTGGCCGTCTGTGTACGGAGTTAGTTGCCGTCGACGTCAGTTTTGTTGAAGCTGTGTGTGTGTGTGCGTGCGTGCGTGCGCGTGCGCGCGTGTGTGTGCGTGTGTGCGTGCGTGCGTGCGCGTGCGCGCGTGTGTGTGT